TCTTACGTGATCCCGGGGAATTCCGTGATAATTTCTCAACTACATCATTTTGTTGACAACTTAGTCTGTAACATTCTTTGATATTCCAAGAATGTTACTGCACATTTTGTATGTTGTTAACATTTTATTATTGGGAGTTATATTAGCGCCGATGTTAAACATTGCACATCCAATGTTAGACGTTCCTTTGCACATAGTTTAAACTACTGTATGGCTAACACATAGACCCAGGTGCAGGTTATTTGTAGATGTATCTAAATGGGAAAGTCCTGTCAGTTTTTTGCTCAGGGTCTTTACCTCCCTTAAAATTTGGTACCACACAGTTGTACTGGTCCCATTGTACCATTGTACATAAACCAATCCATCATACTGATAAATCTATAAGGATTATATGGTGATATTGAGCCCATCAGGGTCATACAGTTCATTCGACTATGTTGTGATTTCATTAGTCTAAATGCAAAAAAATCATCAAAAAATTTTTACGTTGAACTTTTGTAATTTAAAGAACTGAATATAATAAACTAAAATATTTGTTTCTACAAATGAATTATTACAGTAATGTGTTTTATGATTCATCTTATTAGACAAATGACTGGAGAATTGATTTTTGTACAGTTAATACATTCTTGTTTTTAAGTTTCCAAATGTTTTTGTTACAACTGTAAAACTGACATTAACTGTGGTAGGAAGAATTTTTCAAGCCACTTACGTAAGTAAATTTTAATTACTTAAAATGTAACTTAAAAGACTCATTTTCAGTTTTGGCTTATTTAGTTGAGCCAGTTAACAGTAACCACTGGTGTATAATGAACCTCTGTTAATGATGTAACTGACAGTGCTTGATTAGGAGAAGTGTGATTGCTGATTAGTTAGATCATTAGTATTGCCTTGTATTGCACTGAATGTTGGTGTGGCTGTTACTGTCATCATTATAATTGCATTGCAATAAAGTCAATACTGTATCACTGAAATAGGACTTGCTTATCAAGTGGATTGTAAGTTCATAATCAAAGGAAGTTTATATAGACAGTGACCAGAATCCGAACCCACGACATATGAGGAGGTGCGTTTATTACAGTCAGCTTCCGTACTCGTAGCAATCATGTACGCGACAGGCCTGTCTCTTGTTTTACGTGTTTTTGTGTTTTTATCGTGTTCGTGTGTGTGTACAGTTTAACGATGCCAATTCAGGTGGATGTATGTGTATCAGAGGATGGCATTTTGATGCCGAAACAGCTGTAATATACAGAAACTTTAGAGCTGTGACAAGGTATTTATATTATATTAGATATCACATTAACTTCGTCATCACGTAGTTTTCTGATGTAACCTTTTTCTTCATAGTCAGTGATCTTGGCTTTGTATTTGTTATGAAAGTTTTTGTCTCTTGCCATTTTCCTCTCAGTACCCTTAAGTCTTTTCAGCGCATTTTCATAGCTCGGTGGATATTTGAAGTATTCCGATTTCCATAGTAGGCCAGATTCATAACTATCTCCTACTTTTTTGGTCGTATCTTCTAAAATCTTGAGGGCTTTTCGTCTTCAACTGATTTCATATTGTCATCTTCTACTGCAGACACACCATAATTCTCGATTTCAAAAGAATCTTTGATAACACCATGAACTTTTTCACTTTCAAAAGACGTTAAAGTGAATTGACTATCTACTCGCCCAATGTGTTCATGACATTTACCTTGCAATGTCCAGCCTAAACGGCTCCAAGACAAGACTGGAGAGTTGGGAGGACCTTCAATAATTTTCCTTGCTAGAATGAGGTCACAGTTGTCTTGACCTATAAGTATTGTAGGTTTCAAATTTGCTGACGGTAAAGGTTGACCAATTGATCGTAAATGAGACCACTTCTTTCTCAGTTTGACTGTATCCACCATTTGTTTTGGTAAGTCCAATGGTGACTGGGTACGTACATTGTTTAATGTAAATACTTCGTCCTCATATAACCCTTTGATTTTAACTTTCACACTCATGGATGTTGGGTTGCATTGGACCAGCACGTCAGGAGGGGTTCAATACTACCATTGACGCCTAATTTATCGGCTGTAGCTGAATCCAGCAAAGATACGGATGACCCGTCATCTAAGAGTGCGTAAATGTCGATCTGACAAATTGGGCCATATAATGTCACTGGACATACTCTTAGTAGAACACGGTTATTAACAACATGACTGCTAATAATTTCTTTATTTTGCAGTTCGCTGTCCTGTCTGGGAAACCTCTCAATTTTGTCAGTATGGAGAAGACAATGGTGAAACAACCTGCACTCATTTATCCCACAAACCTTTTTTACTTTTAATTTTAAAGCTGGTGACGCCGAAAGCAGAAGAAACATAGTTTCTTTTCAACAATCACTTTCCATCTCTGCGATACATCTGTCTTCCTGAAAACCCCACATCGTTCACTTTTGTGGCTGTCGAGACAAAACATACAGTTAAACGGTTTGTCTTCAGTAGAACTGGTATAAACCGGCTTTATATAAGTTTTCTTGTGCCAGAGTTTTTCTTCTGAAGGACGAAAGTAAATACTCAGGATTGAGCATTGTTTTTCCAACCAAGTGGAAAACTCCTTCAAGTCGGGACTGCTTAGAGCATTATTACTTACATGCTCAGCCCACCTGTATTTTAAACTATAGGGAAGTCTGTTGAGACATTCATTTGGTAAATAAGGCTTTGATACATAATTTTCTAGGTGCAATGCCTCTGCGGTAGCAGTAAAATTAAAAATTGGTCAAAAACTCAACAATTTCATTTCATATAACTTTATTCATTAAAGTACAATACAACACTTGTAGTGTCGTCTTCCTTGACAGAAGGTAGCCTACGAGTCTTTTTTAACATTGACTCCAAAATGAGTTCTGGTCTACCAAAACGCATCTGTAAGGTCTTGATAATTGACTTAAGATTTTGTCTTGAGACAAAAAGAGGTTTAACCATTCTAAACGCTTCTCCCTCTAGACAATTTCTTACTTTTATGAGGTTGTCATCCTCACTAAAAAAATAGGCGGTTTTTTCATACGCCGAAAAAAAATATCGGCCATTCATCAGGCTTGCCACTGAAGCTTGGAAGTTTTTGACAAAATGAAACAGGCTGTATAGCTTTTTAGAAGGTATCCGCAAGCTTTTGCACGGCTGAGGTCATGATGGCTGATGAGGACTTAAGAACTATCGGTTCTTTTTCATTCAACCACCTTTCAACCTTGCTTTGCGGTTCTTCCTCATCATCAAGATTTAAGCTAAGTCCTACCTTGGTTTCAGATTGATTACTAGGGGCTTGACTGCTGACTGCCACACACTGAAGCAGACTCAAGCTCAGCTCTCGCTGTCAGCAGTTGCTTCTGTCACTCTAGTTCTCTACCTTCCATTCGTCGTTGTCGCTCAATTTCTTCAACTTGTCGCTGTCAATCCATTTCTCTTACTTCATGGCCTCTTTCAAATTTCTGTATTTCTTCCAGTCTCTTCAACACCACTTCCATTAGTCGTCGTCTACTAGAAGAAGTACTAGATTTGGCAGAAACTGATGGATGGTCTTTTACTTGGCTTTGGATTACCTGTTGTGTTGTTGTTATTCTCAATTACTAGAGTATATCTGTCTGGAGGGTGTCTTTCCCTCGCTAATGTTCTTATTGACATGATTAAGTCGGGTTTTGGCACCAAATGTAGAAATAATGTCAGACTATTACGAATAAAAAAGGACTGTATTTGCAATTTATGAAGACAAGACAAAAGTAAACAAAATCACAATAATTAATTAATAACAAAAACATATGGCAATAAATAAATAAATACAAAGAATATAAAACATTGTGTCAATATGAAAATATCACATTTATATTTCATAACGTGTCTAGTTATGCATGCTTATGCTCTCAGGCCACCACGTGGTGCCGACCTGTTGCCTGTTGATTTCCTGTCTGCTCAAAGCGTTTGCTGGTTTGAGACATGTTTAAACTATTCTATTTCTATTGAAATTGCATTTTTAGCTGGATCTTAACGCTCTGCTACCAATATGTGGTGAAATGCAGTAGTATGAGTGTTAATAAAGATACCTGGGCCCAATATATCTTCCACTAACCACTACTAAATCACACACATTACCTGTCGTGGTTCAAACTCTATTGGAAAGAAGCTACCTACTCCGTCAAAGTGCACATTAATACCTTAGCTGCATATCACAGCCAGCTTTTATGTTATTTAATATATCTAATTAATACATAGTGAACAGAGAAATAATTATGTGAATGGAATTATTATGATTCGTAATAGTAACTAGATGTAGCTAACGTGAATTCAAATATTAATTGCAAAAAATTTTTTGCGTATTTAGTTGCAGAGAACACAGCTGGTTAGTTGTCAAGATGTCTGAAAGTACCTACTACTTCGAGTCCGACAAGGGAGTTGAGGAATCGGTTCGTCTATATTGTGTTTCGTGCTTGCACCCAAGTTGTGTCGCATGCGTCGAAAACTGTGACAGGCCGGCCCACGCGTGTTTCAGTCACATACACGCGTGCGTCTCAGCTTATGCGGCGCCGTAAGATAACATGACGGTACAGTTTTCTGCCTTGTGCTGTGTTGCATGCGTTGCGCCGCGTGCGTCTCAGCATACGCCCAGCCTAAAACTGTTGATGCTAAAATAGAAGCAACATCCGTGGTCATCTCACGCCATCATCCATGATGATTCATCACAGTCGCAGCAACTACCGTGATGATTTCTACAATCTAAGCAATTACCACAAGCACGGCCACATCAAGATAATTTACTTCAATTCTGATTTTCTTACTTGAAACTACGACGTGAATAAAGATTAGTTGCTGATTATTAGCAGATTTTATTGCTGACATTCAAAATATAAAATTTTCAGGTACTATTAAAAATTCACAGACGTTTTCGTCATAAAATCACGTACAGCTCTCAGTTTTTAGATCATTTGGACACTTTGAATGACAAAATTAGGTAATGAGAACAATAGATTAAGACAAAACTAACCAGCATAGTTAGACTGGGGAGGTGGTACAGATGCATACATCCCTGGTGAGGAATTGGGTGGTCCACCACTCTCTCCAGAGAATCTTCCACTATACCTCCTGCAAGCAAACAATATTGTCATACCTAGGTACACACTACCTCCTAGCTAATATGTACGTTTTAGTCATACTCTGGCTTTGATCATTCTTTAACTTTACTTAACACTAATACCGAAACCCCACCTAGGCTGACGTTAACCGAAACCCCCGGTCTGTGAGACCCCATTTGAAAAATAATGGACCCCGCTTAGAAACACACAAAACGAAAGCCTCGGTCTGTGAGACCCCGGTTAAAAATACATTAACGCTGGGCTTCTGAGACGGACATGTTATGAACAGACGACCTGTCAAGGTCACGGCACCCATGCAAAATGAACAAACGATATATCAATAGGTAGGGGAGGAAAAGGGGGGAAGGTATTGGGGGAATGGAATCTACCAAGTAAACAGTGTTGCCAACATGCGTTTTTGAAAATTCCCGTGGGCCTGTCAGACCGGGGTTTCGGTATTAGTGTTAAACGGTCTGTGAGACCCCATTTGAAAAATAATGGACCCCGCTTAGAAACACACAAAACGAAAGCCTCGGTCTGTGAGACCCCGGTTAAAAATACACTAACGCTGGGCTTCTGAGACGGACATGTTATGAACAGACGACCTGTCAAGGTCACGGCACCCATGCAAAATGAACAAACGATATATCAATAGGTAGGGGAGGAAAAGGGGGGAAGGTATTGGGGGAATGGAATCTACCAAGTAAACAGTGTTGCCAACATGCGTTTTTGAAAATTCCCGTGGGCCTGTCAGACCGGGGTTTCGGTATTAGTGTTAAACGGTCTGTGAGACCCCATTTGAAAAATAATGGACCCCGCTTAGAAACACACAAAACGAAAGCCTCGGTCTGTGAGACCCCGGTTAAAAATACACTAATGCTGGGCTTCTGAGACGGACATGTTATGAACAGACGACCTGTCAAGGTCACGGCACCCATGCAAAATGAACAAACGATATATCAATAGGTAGGGGAGGAAAAGGGGGGAAGGTATTGGGGGAATGGAATCTACCAAGTAAACAGTGTTGCCAACATGCGTTTTTGAAAATTCCCGTGGGCCTGTCAGACCGGGGTTTCGGTATTAGTGTTAAACAATATAATAATCCATCTATTTTTTACAGTAAATCTACACGCAGGAAGAATTTTTTAATAGTGACATATCATCATGTTTAGATTCTAAATAGGATATTGTATATATTGAAATTTATAATTGATGTATGATCTATTTTTAAGTACTATTGTAACAATGCCTATTACAAAATGTTATGTTTAATGGCTGCAATAAATCTTATTGAATCTATTTTTCATATAGACTGTTTGATATTAAAACTGGAAATTCTTAGTTATTGACAGATTTAGATTAGAAGACCAAAACAAGAAAACTGATAGCCTAATAATAATTAAATCCCCACATACACACGGTTGAGAATATGGTGACTTAGAGATATTTTTTAAAATAATCTTACTAGAGTCCTTCACCCTCCAGGGTGACTTTGATTTCAAAACTTGATAGGCTATATAGTCTAGGCGCTGGAACATGCCCCTTGTGCACTTATATGTCCCCCAAATATCCTTGCGGGGCTTTGTTTAACAACTATAAAAATCAAACTTATCACGTGGTCCAAATCATGGTCGTTTGGCCACCATATTGGAAAATGGTCGCCAAATTGGTAGATTATTTGCTAATACGTATCTCCATACCTAGTAATTCGATTTTAATTTTGTAAAGCTCATTTTTTTACTCCTTAACTGAATCATAGGCGGCTGAAGGGGGGTGGGTCTGGGGGGTGGGGTCTAAGCCCCCCAAAACTTTTGCAAAAATAATAATTTTATTTCTAATTAAAATAAAAAACAAAAATAGGAAAAATATGTTTTTAAAGTGTAATTTGGCAAAGAATAGGCCATGTAAAATTATACTTAAAATCTTATTATAAAGCAACAATAGTTAACCTATTGAGCATTTATGATAACTAAGAGTTTGATTTAAGCAACTACAGATACAACGAGGCTGTTCTCTCGTTCGCACGCTCCTTCAAAAGTCATGTTCTTTAAGTGGGCTACATCAACGTGCGCTTTGGTGTCCCGCCGCCGCCGTCTCTGCCAGGTAGCACACCAATCTATCCTGTCTCCTGTCAAGTTGGCATCACTGTCTGTCACTTGTTAGTACGCACCCCGCAATGTACGTGTGATAAATGTAATGTTTTAATGGTGTTGTGATAGTTGTGCAGATTAATGTGTGTAGTGATACCGAGATGCGTCGTGTTACTGATTTTGGCAAGTGGCATCATTACTGATGGTGATGGGGGAACTATGTCTACTTTTCGATGTAATAATAGTGCAATTTTCCCTAGCGAGAATACTCACAGTACTCCTTATCTCGATCTCGGAACACTTGAATCCGGCCCTGTAAGGCCCAAACTTGAGCAATTTACTTTGACAAATTATGGTAAACAAAACCGATTTTTCTCAGTTGCATACTATGACATGTACCAATGGCTAGAGTACAGCATTAACTGTGATGCTGTGTTCTGTTATGTTTGCAGGATATACAGTACTAACCTATCATACACTGAGGAGGTGTTTACAAAATCAGGGTTCAAAAACTGGATGAAAACAAAGGAAAAACTTGATAAACATGAAAAATGTAAAGTACATTTGACATGTTTGGAAAGATATCTTATGAGTAAACAAACTAAGGAAACAGGAAGTGTGATGATAGCCCTGTCTAATGCGCATAAATTGGAAGTTGAAAGAAATAAGTATTATCTGAACAAAATAGTCGACATTATTTCTTACCTAACCTTTCAAGGTTTAGCTTTAAGAGGGCATGATGAGAAGACTGAGTCAGACAACCGAGGAAACTTCCTGGAATTGTGTAAATTGTTTTTCCCGCCATGATCCCGTTTTCAAAGAGGGTCTTGAAAATACAATATCGTTTTGTAGCAAAACTATTTGAAACGAAATCATCGATATAATTTCTGCTATAATGACAGAAATAATTAATAGATGAAGTGAAGAAAAGTGGAATTTTCTCAATCATGATTGACGAGGCTAAGTGCCAGCGGGAAAAACAGCTTTCATTCTATGTTGATGAACATCTCGTCCCAAGAGAGAGATTCTTACTGTTTAAGGCCTGTTCTAATGATTGTGACGCAAATCACTTGGCTAGCGTGGTTCTTAATGTCCTTCAAAATTTAGGATTGCAAGCCCTTAAGATGGTTGCTCAAACATATGATGGAGCCTCAGTTATGTCTGGCAAAAATTCTGGTTTACAGGCAAGGAAAAGTACCCGGAGGCAACTTTTTTCCACTGTTATGCACATAAAGCCGCTTTAGTTGTCACAGATTTTTGCTGAAACGTGGAGTGCTCAAGTATTCTTTTCAATGGACTTGAATCTCTATACATTCATTTTTCTAGGCCTTCCAATCACACCTTTTTTAAAAAAAACATACAGATCTTCTTCAGATAAAAAGGCCATTTGATATAACTGCTCAGAGTACAGCGAGGTGGACCTGTCACTATAAAAACTATGAGCAGCTAATGAAACATTTTGACGTTGTATGTGAGGCCCTAAGGTTTGAGATTGAAGAATATAAAGACACAAGTGCTATAGAAGCATCAGGTCTTCTTAACACTATCACTAGGGCAGATTTCATCGTAAATCTATTCATTTTCTGTGAAGTCCTCACGCTCACTAATGTATTGAGGAACCAGCTACAGCATGAGGAAGCTACATTGGGAGGGGCTTCTAATGTAATCAAAGCCACCATCCAAACGTTAAAAGATAAGAGAAATGACTCGGAGTTCTCAGAAATGTGGCAGAAGATTTCCAAGTTTTCAAAAGAAAACGACATCTGTCTGAGGAATCCTCGAAATTCATAAAGAAAAAAGCGAGAAAGTAAATTTGAAGAAACAAAATTTGTAATTTTCAAAGCAGTTTGGTGACTTTCTAAAGCCATTTTTAACACCAAAAACCGTGCCCAATTGTCCATAAACTCCCATTTCACCTGTTGTTTCTCATGAGCAAATAGACAATTTAAAAATTAAACTATGAGGATTGCATTAATGAGTTTAAAAACACGCCGTAGACTACGGCCATATCCTCCTAAAAGCCGTTTGGTGATTTATACAGCCAGTTTTAACGTCTAGAACTGTGTGCAAAACCTCCCATTTTCACCTTTATTTTTCATGAATAAGTAGACATTTTTAAAACTAACTATGACGATCGCATTTATTCATAAATCTCAAAAAATATTGTAGGCTACAGCCGTATCCTCACAAAAGCTGTTTACTGACTTTCTAAAGCCATTATTAATGTCTATATCTGTGTCCAACTGTCCAAAAACCTCCCGTTTCACCTGTTATTTGTCTTTGTCATGAGCAGGTAGACATTTTAAAAATAAACTATGACGAACTTGCATTCATGAATTTAAAAAAAAATAGGTTTACTGTAGACTACGAAGCCATATCTCCCAAAAGCCGTATGGTGACTTTATAAAGCCATTTCTAACGGCTAGAACTGTGCCCAATTGTCCTAAAACCTTCCATTTCACATGTTATATACCATGCAAGCAAGTAGATATGTTTTTTTAACCTTAAATTTTTCTCAATTTCTTAGATCTGTCACAATATGTATAGTATCGAATTCAATGACGTTTTAACACTAATATTTAAACCCACAATCTTACATTTTTACAAGCAGTTTTTTTATATAAACAATTTGTTTTTGGCCTTCTGCTCGCTTCATTTGACAATAAACAGTACAAGGTTCAAGTATCAACTTCCAAAAAGTATCAACTAAAACTAACCTAAAAGAACTATAACCGATACTACCGACAGATACAGCAAACGAGGAGAAAAAGGTTAACGTAGGCCTACATCTAAATGTTCTAATGTAGTATCAACCACTGCCGACTGACGGCGACGGAACGGACTGAAAGTCTGACTGAATCACTGAAACGCGAGAAGAAGACATACAAGAAGACAAGCGTCTAGGCATCCAGTGCAACTCGAGGATCGTGGATTGGAACACCCCTCCACCACCGTTCCATGTCGCACGCTTCCGAATCACACAGCGAAGCGAGCACCTTGCTTGCTGGCAGCGATCGATCAGGTGAACACGCATTCTGTATGATTTTTGAAATTCCTTTTAACATTTAGGATGGGGGACAAAACTGACTTTTCAAATATTGGGGGGGACACGTCCCCCATGTCCCCTATGGCGGCGACGCCCGTGATATGCTGGGCTGAGGCTGTACAATGTGCTGCCTGCAAACTATAAATTGTTAAGTGAAAATAATTTAAAATTTAAAATAGGTGAACACTTAATTGACAGAGCCTTTTATTTAATTGCAGATTTTCACAATACCCCTTTAATTTAGAATAGTTTTTTATCATTCAATTTTGTTAATTTACATAATCTTCTTGATTACTATTTTATTTTTTATATTCTTTAACCCTGACAACGCACCTACTCTGTATGTACCAACACATGTAAAGAATGTAGGGATGGTCAAGTCTCGAAATTTTGGGAAATTTTAAATCTCGTTACACGAGACGAGATTTCTTTTTGGCCGAGATTTTTATCGAGACAAGAATAAAAAAAAAAAAAAAAAAAAAAAAAATTATTAACGCCTGCAGAAAGTCAATGCAATACCCGCAATACAGGAGCGTGTTGTAGTTGCGTTTCCTTTGCAAAGGCGTTCTTATTGAATTAATTCTTCAAATGTAAATATTACTTTAATTATTTTAATAACATTTGAGAAGTTTTGTTAAGTGTTTGTTAGCAGTGTGAGGAATGTTTTATTACTATAAAAAAAGTCAAAACCAGTAACTATTTTATAAAAATTAATATTTTATTTTATGATTTATTTTATTTTAGGATGAGTTGAACTCTATCCTAACTGATATCACTATGTTTCCTAATCGTAGGCATTTTTAATAAGTTAGGCGTGATTAATAAAAAAATGTTATGCTGATGTTTTTTAATAAAAGATTGTAAATATTCTTGCCTATTATCATTATTTTTGTATTTAAACAGTCATCTAACAATGTTACAAAATCTGGTAAAAATTCCGCACGTGCATTTCCCGTTGTGTATGAGAAGGGAAATCCCGTCTCGATCTTGTCTCAAAATTTTATGAGAAATAAAAAATCTCGTCTCGTCTCGTCTCAAACTAAAAATCCGATCTCGTCCATCCCTAAAAGAATGTTATGTGAAAATAAAATATGTCTATGTCTATTCTAAGCCAAGAATCGGTGGAATCGAAGATGAATCGACCCATCCCTAATATTGATGGTCAGTTCCTAGAATGTTGAATTCAAAGCACTGTGACTTTTACAATTGGCAACTGACAAAAACACAAGTGCCCGGAGGAAAAATCTCTGAAGCCACCTGAGTTGTTATACAGAGTTTTCTCACCCTAGCATGCGATGGCCAGCCTGGCCTAGAGAAGCCGCCTGGTTGGAGCGCACCATGCCTATCTGTGGTCGCCAGTTCCTGCTCTCCTCCCGGCCCATCTGTCCAGGCTTCAGCACCTTGGGAGGCTCTCTGCAATGCAAACCAATAGAAACTAAGACACGTTAGATTAAATTTACTTAATTTGTATGGATTGTTACAAGATTTTAATGGCTAAAATATTTTTGAACATTGTTTCCTATATGACTACAAGTGTTGAAAATAAGTGAAAGACACTTTACATATTTTAAATATTCTTTTAAAGGCCACGCCACACCAAGCTCGCTCCAACGGTGGACGCAAATGTCAAAAAATCGCTCACCGTGTTAACAAATGGAACAGGTCACACAGACGCTTAGAACGGCCAAGCCTTTTTAAACCTTTCTTCGTCGAGCTCGAACTCTGCTACAAGATTCTGGAATTCCCTATAAGTTTCTTGGAGCGAAGCCACTAATACTTCTTGCAGGATACCAAGTATAAAAGTAACAGTTTCTCATCTAATAGAATCGTCGTCCACCCACAGAAAACTATTTCGAAGGAAGTCGCATGGTACATCAGACAAAATTTTGTTATTCTTGTTCACTATTAAAAATGGACAAGATTCTAAGTAACAGCGGAAGACAATGATGACGTTTCCGTGACCGCAGGAGACGACGATGACGTCTACACAGCCATGGAAGATGTTCAATATTCTGCCACAATCGCGGACGACGTCAATGACGTTTCAGTATGGTTGATCCCGCAAAAAACCTTTAAATTTAGTTCTGTTCAAATGGGAGGTATATTATAGCATTACTGTTTTACAGTCATTGTAGACGTAGTTTTGTAGTTTTAGTTTTACAAGAACGTGACAGATAGCAGCATTAAACAAAACTACTAGCTGGCCCTCAGAATTGCCAAATGGAGGGAATAAGAAGAAGCGAGATACCTGGATAAATTATGGTATTATTTAGTACTTATTTGGTATTGTAATTTGGTACTATTATGAACCAAAATACTGACAGACATGAACATTGATATTGATATATATTTTACCACTCTTTATGCTGGCTACTATGCCACTGAAAAAAATTATGAATTAATATTGTAATAAGAAATTGAATTAATTTTTTTCAATGATAAGAAAACTACATTATGTTAAAAGAATAATACTAACTAGTGTAAATGTTGCTCGAAATCGAGCAATTGCAAAGAAGTACAGGAGTTATTTATAAAAAAATTACAGTAGACTCTCAGTAATCCGGCAGATATAGAACCGCCATACTGCCGGATTAGTGAAAATGCCGGATTACTGGAATGTTATCATTAAAAACACTTAAAATGCAATTAAAACACGTCTCCGAAGTTCGCGTGATCGGAAACCGCTATTGCCGCGATCGGGCATGACAATTACGTATTCGCGGGAGGCGATGATAACGTCTACACGTCCGCGGGAGATAATCGTAAAATTGCCGCCATCGCGAATGACGACGATGACGTTTTCGTGACCGCGGGAGATGTTCATGATTTTGCCGCGATCGCGCAAGTCGATGATGACATTTCCGGGACTGCAGGAGTAGACAATGATGTTTATACGGCCGTGGGAGATGATAAAATCATTGCCGCGACCGCGGAAGGCAACGATTAATGTCTACATGACTGCGGGAGATGTTAATGATTTTGCCGCGATCGCGCAAAACGACGATGACGTTTCCGTGACCGTTGGAGTAGACAATGATGTTTACACGGCCGCAGGAGATGATACAATTTTTGCTGCGGCTGTGGAAGGCAACAATAATGTCTACATGACCGCGGGAGATGTTCATGATTTTGCCGCGATCGTGCTTGACGACGATGATGTTTCCGTGTCCGTGGGAGGCAATGATAACGTCTATATGTCTGCGGGAGATGTTCGTAATTTTTCTGCGATCGAGCTTGACGATTATGACGTTTCCGTGACCGCAGGAGGCGATGATAACGTCTATACGTCTGCTGGCGATGTTCATGAATTTTCCGCAATCGCGCATGACGACGATGACGTTTTCATGACCACGTGAGAGAATTATGATGTCTACACGGCCGCGGGAGATAATCAGAATTTTGCCGCGATCGCGGAAGACCTCCCGTCAAAAGACGCTGGATTACTGGAGTGCCGGAGTGGTGCAGTGCCGGATTAGAGAAGGTCTACTGTACTTGTTTAAAAACTAATAACAGTCATAATTTCAAATGATTTTAAAAGAGTCAACTAAAAGATTATTAACCAATGGAAATACTCACAATTTACATAACAGTCCTATTCCAGTTTAAAAGGTTAATTTTTAACAATCAAACTGCCCATGGACGGGAAAAGGTAAGCCTACAATTTAAGTCAACGTAAAAAGGCTGTCAGCTCTTATAAAGTACCGTACCTAAGTTATTTAGCCAATTTGTAGACAATAAGGTGTAGGCTACTTTAAACTCTACAGGACAGAGTTAGGCAAAATTGGCAGAACTCTGAAATGGTGTTATTTATCATAGGCTTACTCACATGCCAAATCCTTAAAATAAAAATTTAATAACTCATAACTTATATCATTAAACACAAACCACCATCCAAAACTATACACATTTTTAATACAACATATATAATTTACACATTGACTGTTTACAATTAACATACTTCTTCTTCTCACTATTAATTTTTGTTTCGCAACGGGAAAATTTGTTTCATAATCATCGAAATAGATTTATAATAAATAATCCATCATAAAGTTTAAGATTAAATACACCTACCACATAGTTGTTTTTTTTATCAGCTGTTTGAAATTGTGAAATAGGCATTTGACAGTTCTGGTTGTTTACATTTAAATGTCAAAGCAAATGTAAACATTGTGAATTTTCTCATGCTTCCATGGAGACCAATTATTAATATTTAATTTCTGACAACAGCTGGAGTTACAAAACAATGTGTCATGATATTTGATAATTGTTTTTAGAATGATAATGGATCAAATAGATTGGAAAAATAGTTTAAATTTTTGAATAAGTGGACTGTATTTTGTATAGGAGAATTTTGTTTTATTTACATTGAAAGAATAACTTACTGTTCTTGGTAAAATAAATCTTTTTAAATAAACTTTATCTTCATGAAGTTAAATAAAACTTTAATAATGATTTTCTTGGGTTTAGTTTTTCATACCAACACTTTTTTCATGCATCTTCATTCAGGTAATTCTGTCTTCTCTGTTGATCTTAATCACAGTCACATGTTTTGTTTTTAATATATTGTTGTACATTTAATTTTGAGTAGTTAAACTGCTTGCATTTACAGTGTTGCCAATTTTAATAATGAAATATTCTTTTAGATTCAATGTGATATAATATAATAACATATGATAATTTGTAACATTGAAATGAATTGTAATTTAAACTAATAATAATAAATTGTAAACCTAAACATTGGTTAATGAATTTTGATTGATTTATTTGGAATAATTTAAATATGAATGAAATAAAGAAAACTAATAAATATTTAACACAATGTTTGTTACCCATGTTAATCTTATGAAGAAATACGAAACTTTAAAGGGCCCCAGGGCCTCACTCTAATTATTTCCCTAAAAAGAAAGTTTCCTGTACAACTTCACGTTACCCTCTTTCCAATGACACCAAAAACATGTCATTCGGTTCAGTACTTTTGGAGGAGTAATTGTCACAAAAATCCTGCTTGCGTATTAAATAAGTATAGATTTATGAACCACAATTGTAGACTAAATTTATACTTACATTGCCCCATTCAAGCGTTTGGCCTTGAAAAGGAATGAATCTGGATATTTTGGATCTCTAAATCTGACACTGAAACATAATGAAAATAAAGCATGAGATTACATCATTAAACCATTAAAGTGACCTGACTGAAACCATTCCATTCAGTTTATGGGAAATTGATTATTTAGATAGGAATAAAGGTAGATTTATGCCAATACATTAATTAGAACAGGATTTATGAAAGTAATTCATATTCTTAGATTTTATAATACAAACCTTCAGAAGTCAAGTTACACCTTGATTAAATTATTGTTTTTTGGTAGTCTGTCAGAAATAAAAGATAATACATTTGTATTTTTGCGCTACATGAACAAATCCAAGCATTTATTTTGTTAAAATTTTATTTTCGATTTCATATAAATAGCTGAGGAATAATGTACACTCTTAAATTCTTGGGTCTAAATATTATCATTGTGCTAAAACAGTAGGGGTGGGCGAGTACTAGACTTCCGAGTAATTACTAGACTTTTTTCAAACTAACTAGTAACTACTACTCAAACATTTGAGTCGGGTAGTTATAAAAATGTGCCAATACTTCATTTTCTACGCCCGTATTTAATAAATTATATTTGTGTTGATGTCTTATTTAATCCCCATTCCTATAAAAAACAACTATCTAACTTAATATATAGGCTAGGCCAGTGTAAACTAAATGAGAAATATGGCAACGTAGCCCTGCAAAACATCTGTTTTATGGGAAAACAAAGCAGAAGCAGAATGAACAGAACGACTAGAGAGGTGTTTGGCTGAAGCCCAGCGGTCCCTCCTACCCCCCTGGTTTAAGTCAGACTTATTCACCAGGCCGCTTTCCTGAAAAATTTTTTGATTCCTCTTCCAGTTGTCAGCTTCAATTTTTGTCCTTCCAGGCACATTCTGTGCCTAACCAACACCTCTCCCCTCCCCAAGTACCCTCAATCACAGGTACCCAAGTACTAGGATTGTCGGATTTGTTTCAATCTTCTTAATTTGTTTCTTTCTTTCAAAACATTTTTCCATTTCAAATTCCAGCCTGTTTCCTGCATTTTTAAATTCATGCTTTTTCTTTCCTATCCTTCGGCACATTCTGGCGAACTCCAACGAAGATTATTTATTTCTCAAGAAATCTTCTCCCAAGCCCATGTCTTTTGTCTGAGGAATTCCCTCATCCCACTTTCTTCTTTGTAGAATGGGCACTCCACTCCATCAGTACGTGTTGTGACGTCTCTAGTTCTCATCATCTTCGACGAGGTTGAAACATTTCAGCTTGGCCTTGAAGTTGCCGTGTCCGCTGATGAACTGTGTTGTGTAGTGATCGGTTTTCCAATGGCCTTTCTTTCTGAACCTCACATCCGGAACGAACACAAAGGTTTCCAACAAACTTATTGACTTTTATGGCTCCAATATAATTATTACTGATCTACCCATTAAAAATTAGGTATCATATTGAAGGTAGTTAATCCAATTTTTCAAATATTATTTTATGTTAGTAATATTTTATGATTGTACTTAAAATATATAATAGTAAAACTTTTAAATAATTCTGTATCCTGTTGGCTACATTATTTATTGAATACCAAAACCATGCTTATGTTATGTTTTTAGACCATTGTCCAAGTTTATTCTGTAGTTTATTCATACTATTGCCAGCTTAAATATACTTTTTAAAGGGGGAAAAATTAAGTGTTGTTTTGACAAAAACCATTGATAAAGTAAATTTATTACAGTGCAACTTTGTATGAAAATACGCCTGCCGCAGCGAACCTGCAGACTAAGCGAATTTCCATTTGCCAGATTGGATTTTAAATTAAATCTATTTAAATAACATTATGCCTAACAAGTACGTAGGTTTGCTGCTACAGAGAATATAATGATGTGAGTTTTTTAATAAAATATCAACAGCTTAGTATAAATTAAGTTGATTTGCCAAGTTTGATGAAAATTTATACGTAAACAGGCAAACTACAACAGCTAACTTATTCTCCTTAAGAACTAACGAGAGCACGCCCGTGGTCGAAAAATCGACCAAAAGTATGTTTTGTGCAAACTTCTCTATTTTCACCCCACACTGTTAAATAAAACATGTGATTGGAATGTCTTCCATTTGTTTTGATTTTCTGTTTATATTTTGTTGTTATTTCGTCATCACCATAGCAACCCATAAAACCCATGTTAATTTTTTAAAATTTCAAATTCATTTTTTGTGCTTATTTTTGTGCCTATTTTAGTTTATAAAGGGATTCTGCACACCTACAGGAAAATAGCTTTCTAAAGGTATGCGTAGATTTTCCGTACGATACACACGAGCTGAGAAAAAAGGTTTTAAAGAAACATGCTTGCCTATTAATATATAGATTCTAGATAACATGGGAATTTTAAATTTTAAATTTTTTCAACTTTCTTCGTAACCAATAACCTTACAAAAACACTTTAATATACAAAAATATTTGATTATTTAAGCTTTTTAAATAGGTTTAGAGAGAAATTAGAAATGTTTGTGTTTTGAGGGTCAAAAAAGATAAAATTCAATTTTTACCCCATAAAACCAATTTTTTACTCCATAAAACCCCCTGTAAACACGCGTTCCCATGGTCCAATCATGCTGATTTGCCAACTCATTTAAGATTATTCCATCTTACACCTTCAATCCAAAATTAATCAAAATCGGACCAAAATTACCCAAGTTATCGCGTTCACAGCCACGTTTAAATAAGTCGCGCCCCCTCCCCCCCTATATTTTGTTAAAACGGGGGAAGCACACAGGGGACGGGCGGGGACTTTTAGGGTGTGATTTTACATACCATAACGGACATCTGTGCAAAAAATTAGCTTTATATCTCGCATTCCGGTTAAAAACCTAGATTGACTGGGCTATTAGGGGTGGTCAACACAGTACGTACATTGTAGCTCATTAATTATGCAGTGATCTTGTAATTTTATTTTATTTTTAAAATGCCAAAGCCTCTTTTTTGAATGTTTGTTGGAATTACTTAGTCCACTAATAACAAAGAAGGACACCAACCGGAGGTTAGCTCTGAGTGCTGAGGGAAAATAACAATACACTGAGAAGTCAATAAAACCAATAGAAACGTGAAACTGAAGCCTATACGAAATCTGTTTTTTGGATTTCATGTAAACCAGTTGCAAGAAACAAATGAAATTACAGTTTCATGCAACGCAGAGTGCACTGCCCTGTGTTAAACTAATCCATCTGTTGCGAGCAACTAAAGTTTCTCGTTTCATGAAATCGGTTTCCTGAAACGGATTTCTCCAGTGGAACTTGACTTAGGCCTACTTTGCTAAAACACTCACATTGTAAAATTTCTATTGACTTTTGCCGTTTTGAACTTTAACCTAAATTATCATTTTACTAAATTCAAAATTTGAACTTTCATCTTTTCAAAAGTGTATACCTAATTGAACTGTAATTTGTGATGAACATTAGGCTTATGCCTATCCAAAATCACATAAGCTTACTTTGAGCCGGCACGATACTCCTAGAACCCTGAGATAAGAGTTTCATCTAAATTTATAACCATATTTGTATAATTTGATAAATAAAAGGTTTATATGTGTTCATTATTGTAAACCCTGGAAATTTATTTATTTATTTATTTACCAACACACATAGACTAATAAAGAACTTTACATCATTAAAACTAATGTTATTTAAATAGGAAATAAATCTGATAATTTTTTTGTAGAAATCCAGCCAGGTAAATGGAAATTTGCTTAGTCTGCGGGTTTGCTGTGGCAGGGGTATTATACCTTGTATGTTGATGCATATATAGAGTTTATTTTAATTATTTTAACAATTAATTTTATTTTAAAATACATCACTATGATGAAACACCTGTTCTTATGTATGAATTGTATTTAAAAAAAACGATTTTTGTTAATAAAACTGAAAAAAAAATCGGATCCATTGATACCGGATCCAGCCCATGATCTGATTTTTTTGTGGATATCGGCATTAACTAGGTAGTCCGATATCCGGATCCGACTATCACAAGAGATTTCTTATGTGTATACTTCTTTACTGTACAGAATAAGATTGTTTTCGGAAATGAAAGTTCTGAGTAAATGTGAGTTCTGTATGACGGTTTACTGTCAGAAAAATGTAATAAATAATTAGAGAAAATGGAATAATAATTAGGCATTCTAGAGCGTCGAGATAGGGGCGAATCAGTCCAGTGTTGCAAAAAGGTATCTATAAGTGGAAATAAGACAATTCAAGAAAGAGAAATCAAAGGCTTAATGGTAAGTAATGTTGTAAAAGAAAATTTATTAAATTTAAATAATGTTATTTGTTGATTTTTAAACATTGGTTATTAATTTAATAGGGTATATTTTAACCCTCCGAGTGTTATTTGTCGCTGCAGAGACTCACAAACACTGTTTACAGCGAAGGCTCTATGACTGACAAAATCGGATTGAACTGGATCGAGTTAGGTATCGTTTTATTTTACAGATTCAGAGCTTTCTCCAGAGGTCTGTCTCTAAGCGCTATTCATTTTAGTTCCGAAAATATTGTAGCAGACAGCTGACGTGCGTATTTGTAAACAGCTTGGTTATCCTCGGACCGATGACTGATGTGTTTTATTACGTTTATCATTGTTTTAGTGTTAAAAATCAAAAGTAGTGATATACGTGGTGCATTATAAGAAGATTTAAGTGATTTTGAAGGGCTGGTTGATGATCCTGAAGAAGTAGGTAGTGATATTGATGTAAATTATCAGCCAGATTCCTAGCTATGGTTAGGCTATGCATTCTTAGCTAAACGCTATGTACTGAAATCTGTTTTTTGCCCATAACTTATTTATTTGCAAATCTACTTCCTTATATTATTATATATTTGTAATCCTCATAAAATTTAGAACAAAGTGGCTATTTTCAAATATTTATAGGCCTATAATTTATACAATTTCATTGAGCGAGAAATTTTTTTTTTTGAAAATTTTCCAAAATATTTTTTTTTTACCTAAAAATTTTTTTGGAAACAAATGTTCCTTATGTTCTATGTATAATAGTCCAGTAAATCTGTCAGAAAATATGGGGTTGCTGTGCAAAAGGTCGGGTAGTTCTGTTTTTTTGATATGTTGTTAGTATTGGGCCCATAACATAAAATCCAAGTTATCCACCTCGAGATACTGCCGCTCGCCGCGGGGCGCGCCACTTGTTATCGAAATATTAAAAATATGGCAATTCCTATTGTTTTTCACTCAATCTCGCGAACCATTGATTTTACCAAAAATTTTATATTATTACATTAAAGAAGAATAACTTTGTGACAGTTTAAGCCCAACACCTAGCGTAAATAATGGTCAAAATACGGATCATCAAAATAAATAAATTTTCCAAAAACGTATACAAATTGTGGTTTTTTCAATATTTCCACATTATAATTGTTTGAAGCAAAAACCGTATTGATTTAGAGAGTATGCCAGTTTATTTCCTATTAAAAGAAAATAAATGAAAGTATGAATAAAAATCCCCCCACCTCAGCAAACCTGCAGAATAAGCGAATTTCCATTTACTTGATTTGATTTTCACAAACCTATTTAAATAACATTAGGTTTAACTGGTACCTAGGTTTGCTGCTACAGGGAGGGTAATATAGTATATAAAATAATAATAGTATGATAAGAAACAAATAAATGTAACCAATTTTATAAAAATGTGTCTATAAATAAGGAAAAAACAGTAATTAAAAATCTTTGCTATTGGAATAACTTGAGATTTTTTAATTTAAATTTTTTAATTTTCTTCGTAACCAATAACTGTAAAAAACATTTTCATGTACTAAATTATTTGTTTTTAAGCTCTACAAAATGGTTTAGAGATACATTGTAAAATTGTATGTTTTGAGGGTCAAAAATACGAAAACCCCGTTCTTAACAAAAGACCCCATAAAGCAATCGCTCCCATGGCCTGATCATGCTTCGCGAACTCGTTTTAATAAATGTAGGTTTACATGCCAAAATAGACCTTCAAAATATACCTTCAACGGCAAAACTATTCTTCCCAAAGCTGTCAAATGTTTATACATAGACATTTTAGCTAAGCTTTGGGAACAATACTTTCACATGAAAACAAAATAAACCAGTTTAACATAGTTAACAGTTTATTGAGGCTGAAAGATCAGGCAAATAAGATCTTCCAATTACAATCACTCTACAGATCTTCCATGCAGCGGGTAATTTTTCCACGCCAAGTGCGCCCATCTATACAGGACATGCTGAATATGAATTTAAATACAGGATTGATATTGAAGAACACAAAAAATTCACAAAGATCGGAAATTTCACTACAAGAGGTACAGACAAGTTCTGGTGTGGAATTTGGTCTGATTAGGCCACCGAACAGGCCCTCATAAAGACAATGAAAAGCTCTGGTGGATTGACTTGAGGACGAGGGATAACAGACAAAATGTTGTAACTTGATGGGCGCTTGGGATGATCCGTCCTCATCAAATCCGTAGGAAGTTGAGAAATATTATAAAAAATGACGTCAGTTGAACATTAACAGTGAGCAACATGTTGACGTGCGCTATTCTCGCATTGCTCGAGACAACAAAATTGATGAAAAGATTAAATAGTGGTTTCCTTAACACACACCATTCAATATAAATGATATGCTGATTATTAGCAAATTTCCCTTATAGGAAATACGCCATTACAGTAGGTCTCATGGTAAGACCTAGACCCGGGACCGATTTACTTTTTCATTTTGGTATTTCTAAAGGCCAAAAATACTGTTGGTTCAAATTGTTCTAACATATATAAATATATATGTATATAGGCCTATACCGGGTGTCCGAAAAAGACTCCATAGTTTTAAAAATACCTCACGATACTATTGTTCAAATGGATGAGTAATGATCATTTCGATCTGAGTAGAGTATACTTCAAAGTTTTAGTTTTGTACGTTGGCAATAAGTTGCGTTCACCCATTTGACCTTGAACATAGTTTTGGTAATAAATTATAATACAAATAATAAAATATTAATGATAAAAATGAGTAAAAATAGCTTGCATGTCTGCAGGGCTACAAATGGTTCGCATATTGAGGTGTGATAGTGTTAAAATAACTTTTATTTTATTACCTTTCATTTAATGTATCAGCATAGCCTTCTCTATGGTATCAGTCGTTGAAGAGTAGTTTATATCTAGTAAAATAAATAAATACATGTTCAAACTAGGTGAATTTTTTAGAGACCCTGTATAAAAAAAAAACTAAAGATTTTACTAAACTGTATCCAAAAAAGTTATTATCGTCAGTTAGCACGATGATTCCCAAAAATCATCCGATTTAGTGGAATTTGGTACAAACATTACTTTTATTTGTGAATCAAGAGATGGACTATTTATCATTTACTTTGTATTGTAAGTGACTTAGCCTATTGCTTTTGCCTAATGGCCTAAATAAATCATTGAATCATGTAAACGTACATTTATTTATTAAAACGAGTTCGCGAAGCATGATTGGCATGATAAGGCCATAGGCACGGTTGCCTTATCGGTATTTTGCCGGTAAGAATATTTTTTTATAAATTTTTAACCCTCAAAACATACAATTTTACAATTGTATCATTTAAGAATTTTGTAGAGCTACTAAAAACAAATAATTTAGTACATTAAAATGTTTTTTACTGTAATTGGTTACGGATAAAATTAAAAAATGTAAATTAAAAAACCTCAAGTTATTCCAATAGCAAAGATTTTTAATTATTGTTTTTTCCTTATTTATAGACACATTTTTATAAAATTGGGTAAAGTTATTTGTTTCTTATCATACTATTATTATTTTATATACTATATTACCCTCCCTGTAGCAGCAAACCTAGGTACCAGTTAAACCTAATGTTATTTAAATAGGTTTGTGAAAATCAAATCAAGTAAATGGAAATTCGCTTATTCTGCAGGTTTGCTGAGGTGGGGGTATTTTTATTCATACTTTCATTTATTTTCTTTTAATAGGAAATAAACTGGCATACTCTCTAAATCAATACGGTTTTTGCTTCAAACAACTATAATGTGGAAATATTGAAAAAACCACAATTTGTATACGTCTTTGGAAAATTTATTTATTTTGATGGTCTGTATTTTGACCATTATTTACGCTACATACTTGCTGTTGGGCTTAAACTGTCACAAATTTATTCTTCTTTAATGTAATAATATAAAATTTTCGGTAAAATCAATGGTTCGCGAGATTGAGTGAAAAACAATAGGAATTGCCATATTTTTAATATTTCGATAACAAGTGGCGCGCCCCGCGGCGAGCGGCAGTATCTCGAGGTGGATAACTTGGATTTTAAGTTATGGGCCTAATACTAACAACATATTCAAAAATCAGAACTACCCGACCTTTTGCATACCAAAATGTTTTATTTTACTGGACTATAATATTGAAGCCCATGATTTTCCAAACAAAATGGTATATAGAACAGTATAATTAACATTGTTTTCAAGCTTCTCAGATCCGTTTTAATAAAACCTTGCAAATGAGCAAAAAATAGGCAGACATTAAGGCCAAAACAAGGGACACTCGGAGGGTTAACCGTTGATAATTCATCCGGTTTGTCCGGCCATTTATAGTCCCCAATTTAATAGCCCCCATAACCCGTTTTATTTTGTGAGTTGGATGTTATCTGTCGCAGCCAGTAAACTCACAATGTGTTCGTCTTTGTTAAGTTAATACAGATTGGTAAATATCTTTTTATTTGTCCCCATGAACTTTATGTACCTTTAACTAAACAACATCTAATGGACTAAATATTTTGCACTAGAGCCTGATGATAGCACAACAATTTGCTGAAACCTAGGTCGCAAAAGGATTTACTTGATTTGAAATAGATGACTAAGGTAAGTATTCAATTCAAAAACCATAATTAATTTCTAACCAGGTCTGGGACATTTCCACATATAAGATGTCAAAAATACTAACATATAGGCTACTTTTAGTTTACTTACCATATAACTGAGTTCATACGAATCACTGGGAGGCCGGTAACTGGTGAAGGTAAAGACCTAAAAAAAAACAGAAACAACTTTTGAAACATCAAGGAAAGTCAAGAGGCTAATTAGGAAGTTAAGGGATAGAGGTCAGATGTATTAGCTGACAAAGTTAGACTGTCAGACACAATAAAAGGTCACAAGATAACACTGATAGGACTTCTTCAGAGAATACGTTGAGGATAAATGTCAGTACCTTGAATGATAAATTGAAATGTTAGTATGTAGAGAGTTTAGGGACACTTTATACAATGTTTAGGGACTATATGTACAATGTTAAACCTTACAAGGTATCATTCCTGGACAAATTAAAATATTACATTTAACATTAAACTCAAAATCGACCTGAGTAGCCACCATTTTTTTTTTTCACAAATCTTTTGATTTGATAATGGCTTTTTGTAGTGAATTAAAATTTGTTGAATTGACGAATAACGCAAAGACCTATTTTAATACATGTCTTTAAAAAAAAGTTTGCACAGTCGAAAAATTCACGCTTTTACCGCGATTGTGGGTGACGACCATCAAGTTTCTGTGAACGCGGCAAAAGATGATGTCTACATGACTGCAGGAGATGATCAGAATTTTGTTGTGATTGTAGATGACAGCAATAATCAACAAAGTTTCGCTCCAAAGTAGGGGTGTGCGATGCAGCATATTTTTTTCGATTCAATGCATCGATGCGATTCAAAGAATTTCGATTCGAATCGATGCGGTTCGATGCAGCACGGCAATGATTTTCTTTAAAAATTAAATACAACATGTGTTTCTGTAATGGATCCTTTATTTAAAAAAAATTAAAGTAAAAAATGTACTAAATAAAATTATGAACAATTAAAAGGATAATTGCTGACCTAACCTCACTAATGGACACTGCTAATTTTATGGTTGGCCTAAGGAAATTCACCCTTCACTAACACTAGAATAAGCGTATGTATCAATAAAGCAATCTTAAGTTTATTATTATTGACCTGTATTAAATAATAGAGTTTATTTTATGATGTAGTTTTGTTACTTAATTTTCACATTTATATTTGTTGGCTTTCAATACTTCTGGTTCATTCTTAAATCGGGGGGCCACCAGTTGACCGACAAGATACTTGGTGGTCTGGCCACTAGACCGTCTTTTTTAAATAAATAGATAAATACTGAAAACCAGTACGTCGACAAGTTATTTCGTCGTCAGTCCAGTTGACCGGCCTGTAAAACTAAATTATTATATGCGAGAAACAAACTGCTCGGCAATCGACCCGGCCGACTTACAACTTGCTCGTCTTTTAGGTGGGGATGTGTTGAGCGGCAGCGCCAGCAGCGCGCGCAGCTGTGGAGGGAGCTGCAGGCGTACCAACTTCTGTTTCTTGTAGTGGCGGTTTTTATTCCGTCGATTTTCAGCTATCACAATGCAGCGGACTAGCGAGGTTTTTATTACGTGTAATTGTTTGTTTCTCGATATATTAATTGATATATTTTTTAAATAGAGTACAGTGAATATAAATAGGCCTATATTAGTTTACTTCAATTACATAAATGTTTTATTCAGCTAAATAAAAAAAACGCCGATTGAACAAATAAAATTGTGAAAGACAACAGGAAGTCCTTAAGGTGATCAAACAAGTTTTTATCTTTACTAAAGAATTACTGAAATTTGTCAACTTACTGCTGGCGACAAGGGTGGTAGGTACCATGCATAAGTTTATCAATAAATAAGATAAACATGGACAACGTTATGCGGCTCTAAGTCAGGAAATATTTGTAGATACATTAAAAAGCAATACCAAGTTATGAAATATCATAAAATATTTACAGGAAATGTTGATTACTGTATATACATCGTGAGTATCTACATGAGTTACACACCGGTGATTTTTGAGTTGACTCTTTTAAACTCATTGAAAATATGACTGTTTGTCGTTTTGAAATACAGTAACTTCTGTAATACTTTGAAATTGCTCGAATTCGAGCAACATGTACACGAGTTTGAATATTAAATTGACTGACATATTTTTGTAATAGCAGGGTCAAATATTGTGAACAGTGGTGAGGTAACTACCGTTACATTTATTCAATAGAGAAATAAATACAAATTGATAATACCGGTTATTTAAAGCCTCGTTGTCTTTAATTTTCTTTCTTAAAAAATAAAATAAAGAATGAATTTTAGACTTTTGGTGACATTAGTTTGTACTATTTCTTCTTGAATGACACAGCTGTCTTGGTAAGCAATAGTTATCTTGGTAAACTATGTATTTGCTGAAGTGCACAGTGTGCTACTTAGCCTGTGAAACGTCTTTAGTTTTATGATTTTGTTGTAGGCCTATTGAAAAAATTATTGCAATTGCGATTAATTAAATCCGTTATGTAAGGAAACACGTTTTTAATCTTACTTGGTTTGGATTTGCCTTCAAAATGTGATCGGAATTGGTTACGGACTACGGTATTTGTAAACAACATTCAATGTAAACCTATCAGTGACAGCTAGAATAAATAATCTTGATTTGAACAGCTGTTCGTTATTTCATAGTTGAATCTGGTTGAATATGTGATAAACATTGGGAGAAAACTTTACAAAAAATCGCACAAAATTGGGGTTTTAAACGTCCGTCATTTTATTTACAAAGTAGTGACGACATATTTTAATGGCTAAACACAATCTCGCCAATCCAGTGAATACATTAAAATGATTTGGAACTTGATAGGTACTCTCGTTTTTCAGGAGAAGGCCGCGTAAAATGGCTCTTGGGCCGTGACAGACAGGAAGACAGACACACAGAAATTTAGATGAGACTTGTTTCGGTTTCTTTAATGTATAAAACGTAAAAATAACCTAAAAGTTTATGATTCTGAGAAATGTACAGACAAAACTCTAGTTTTAGCGAATTTCCCTATAGGGAAGTAGCTATTACCGTAGGTCAACCGGTAAGACCTAGACCCGGGACTGATTTACTTTTTCATTTTGATGTCCCCGGAGGCCAAAAACACCATTCGTTCAAATTTTTATATATGTATATATATATATAGACTTATATATATATATATACAGGGTGAATAAAAAGTCAAGACCCCCCCCTCTAATATTTTTCCACGTAAATATACAGAGATACCCTTTTGGTGGTCGAGCTATCTTAGCAGGAAGTTTCATTTAATCATTTTGAAATTTTTGAGTGTCCCCCCAAAAGGGGGCATTTGGGGGGCGACTCAAATATTTTAAATGTAAACCCCCTTCAAGTGACACCTCATTTTGAAGTGTTTACAAAAACTTAAAGAATGGTGAAAACTAGAGGTCGCTATCTCTTCTCTATCCAAAATGGTAGCCCGTCAAATGTTGTGGAAAATCAATGGTAAAATTGTTAATATTGGCTGCCATTTTGGATAGAGAAGATATAGCGAGCTCTGGTTTTTACCATTCTTTAAGTTTTTATAAACACTTCAAAATGAGGTGTCACTTGATAGGGGTTTCTATTGAAACATTTTTAGTTGTCCCCCGAATCCCCCCTTTTGGGGGGACACTCAAAAATTTTAAATGTAAACCCCCTACAAGTGTCACCTCATTTTGAAGTGTTTACAAAAACTTAAAGAATGGTGAAAACCAGAGCTCGCTATCTCTTCTCTATCCAAAATGGCAGCCAATATTAACAATTTTACCATTGATTTTCCACAACATTTGACGGGCTACCATTTTGGATAGAGAAAAGATAGCAACCTCTAGTTTTCACCATTCTTTAAGTTTTTGTAAACACTTCAAAATGAGGTGTCACTTGAAGGGGGTTTACATTTAAAATATTTGAGTTGCCCCCCAAATCCCCCCTTTTGGGGGACACTCACAAATTTCAAAATGATAAAATGAAACTTCCTGCTAAGGTTGCTCGACCACCAAAAGGATATCTCTGTATATTTACTTGGAAAAATATTAGACGGGGGGGTCTTGACTTTTTATTCACCCTGTATATATACGTCCGTGAACGCGATAACTTGAGTAATTTTTGTCCGATTTTGATGAAATTTGGTTTAAAGGTGTAAAGCGGGATAAACTTGAATGAGTTCGCGAACCAGCATGATCGGACAATGAGAACGGGGCTTTACGGGGGGTTTTATGGGGTAAAAATTGGGTTTTCTCACTTTTGACCCTCAAAACACAAAATTTCCCTATTTCTCTTTAGACCTTTTTAAAGAGCTTAAAAAAACAAATAATTAAGTATATAAAAGTATTTTTGTTCGATTATTAGTAACGGAGAAAATTTAAAAAATTGTAAATTTAAAATTCCCATGTTATTCTTATGGAGAATATTGTCAAATGTTGTAGTTTGCTTGTTTATGGATATATTTTGATCAAACTTGGCAAATTTATTTATTTTGTACTAAGCTATCAATATTTTACTCAAAAACACACTTTATTAGTTTCCTTGTAGCAGCAAACCTAGGTACTCGTTAAACCTAATGTTATTAAAATATATTTAACTGAAAATCAATTCAAACAAATGGAAATTCGCTTAGTCGGCAGGTTTGCTGCGGCGGGGGTATTATTTATATAGACTAGTTGTTTCCTGTTATGAGCGAGGTGAATAAAAACTAGAGAACTCTCCCACTTGTATTATTTTGAGTGAACACTTGTCAGCAAGTGAATAAAGGAAGAGTTCAATTCCACTACAAGGGAACCCTTTTCTGACACAAGACAACTCTTAAAAACATGTGAATAAAGAAAAAACAAACACTTGTCTAGAAAGAGAACACTCTTAGATTTACAAGTCAGGGTCAACCCACACTTGTAACTGTTCACTTGCCTTTGGCTGCTTTCATGCATATTCGTGAACGAAAACAATATGGGATTAGAAGAAGTATAAGCCCTAACAAGTGCAAACAATTACTCAGATTTGAAGATGCAAGTGCCCAGACAGCACAGAGTTATCTATAGAATATCTTATAAACTATAAACATATAACTTGGATATTTAAGATATCTATAGATTATCAATATCCAGATATTTATATTTGTTAGATATTGTGAAGAAGTTTAAATGT